ACATATTGAATACGCCACGAGGAGTCTGCCAGACTCTGCCGTGTGGTCAGGATACTTTCGGTGGCCTGCCAGGTCCTCCAGAATAAGAACTAGATAATAAGATGCCGCATGGTCGCATTTGCGGCTGTGCCTTCTGGGAAGTGGGTTTTATAGTCTCTGGGTCTTGGCGGTTGATGGGATTACACAGCGCCGGGGGCAGTTGGTGGGTGTAAAGCCTAGCTACTGGAAGATGGGGGATCTGGGTAGAGGAGGCCCAGTCCCAACCCAAGCAGGCTTGGAGATCTACGCCCCAGGTCCCGCACACCTGGGTTCCTCTGCCAGTTCCTTCATGCATGAAGCTCATCCGAACGTGTAGAGAGTGGTCTTAAGCATGGTTGTGGCTGGAACTGGAGGTCTTCAGCTGCCGGGGCTCTGCTCGGGGTGGGGAGGGAAACTCAACCCACCCTCCTCCAAGGGGCCCCACTAAGGACAACCAGGCGAGGAGGCAGGAGACTCTGTGCTGTTCTCTTCCAGGAGCTGGGTTTTATAGTATCTGGGTATTGGCAGTTGATGGGATTACATGGCGCTGGGGGCAGTTGGTGGGTGTAAAGCCTAGCTACTGGAAGATGGGGGATCTTCCACTCTCCACACGTTTGGATGAGCCTCACGCATGAAGGAACCGGCAGAGGAACCCAGGTGTGCGGGACCTGGGGCGTAGATCTCCAAGCCTGCTCGGATTGGGACTGGGCCTCCTCCACCCAGATCCCCCATCTTCCAGTAGCTAGGCTTTACACCCACTAACTGCCCCCGGTGCAGTGTAATCCCATCACCGGTCAAGACCCAGAAACTATAAAACCCAGCTCCTAGAAGAGAACAGCACAGAGTCTCCTGCCTCCACGCCTTGCTGTCCTCATCTGGGTCCCTTGGAGGAGGGTGGGTTGAGTTTCCCTCCCAACCCCAGCAAAGCCCCAGCAGCTGAAGACCTCTGGTTCCAGCCACAACCATGCTTAAGACCATTCTCTACACGTAATTTCTTTAACTTACAAAAAAAACAAAATAATGTCCTTCAGTTGGTGGGTAGATAAATTAACTGTGATGTGCCCAAACAAAATATTATTAGCACTTAAATATCAAACCACAAAAAGATATGGAGGAATCTTACTACTTAAATCTTAAATACATAATACATATTACATATTACTATGTGGAAAGAAGCCAAATTTAAAAGGCTACAAACTACATAATTCAAATCATACAACATTTTGGAAAAAGCAAAACTACAAAGACAATAAAATGATTAGCACATTTGTAGGAGTTAGCAGATACAGAGAAATACGAGAAAATAGAGAACTTTTAAGGCAGTGAAAATATTCTGCCTGATATCAATACTGTAAGGACACATATATATCATGATATATTTGTCCAAACCATAAAATGTACACCAAGAATGAATGTTAATGTAAACTATGAATTTTGGAAAATTATGAGATGTCAATATAGGCCCATCTTGGTTATAACTATTATATATACTTCTGGCAAGTGATATTGACAACTGGTTAGACTATACATGTGGAGTGGTAGGGAGCTATGAGAAATCTCTGTGCCTTCCTTTCAAATATACTATAAACCTAAAATTTCTCTAAAAAAATGAAACCTTTTAAAAATACATAGCTCAAGGCCAGAGCAATAGTATAGAAGGTAGGGCACATGACTTCACACAGCCAACCCAGGTTCAATCCCTGGCACACTCCACAGTACCTGAGCCAGCCAGGAGTGATCCCTAAGCTCAGAGACAGGAGTCAGCACTGCTGGGTATAGCCAAAAAACCAAATCAACAAACAAAAAAATGTAGCTCACTGGTAGAAAACTTGGCCTTGCATGTGTGAGGCTCTTGAGCTCAATTCCCAACATTGTGAAAAAAAATTTTCATTAGGTAGGGCCCTTGCCTTGCATACAGCTGACCTGGGTTCAATCCCTGGCATCTCAAATAGTCCTCCAAGGACCACCACATACTCCTAAATGCAGAGCCAAAAGTAACTCCTAAACTTCACCAAGTGTGGTTCAAACACCAAAAACAAAGCAGAACTATAGTAAGAGTAAAAATATCATTTATATCTATATTTTACAAAAATGCCAAGCCACCCCAGCTGGGGGAGCAACCCAGGACCCCCCGAACACAGGCAGCAAGGAGGAGAGCCATTGGGTCTCTCCCTAGCCGCCCCTAGGAGATTACACAGTTGGCGTGCCTGGGTGGGCACGAGCTACCAACTAAAGGTAAGAATAGCGTTCGGTGCACCCCCACTCTAGAAAGTGAGTGGGAGAAGAGGATTTTTTAGGGTGCTGAGAATTAGAATCCTAGCAGTAATCCCCCACTAAGATGGGGCAGATTCTGGGCCTTCCCAAGATCTTTCATAGTTTCTCGAGCCAGACTGAACAGGCCAAGCCATTTATGGATTTGACTCAGTATCTCTCCCGCGTAACAAGGGGACCCAGAACACTGCATTTCCAGAGACAAACTCTGGTGCTGCTTTAAAGTAGTTTATAAAATAAGTCCATAGTTCCCCGATGAACAGACTCTAGAAACCAAGATTTGGAAAAAGGTTAAGAAAAATGTCTATAAATCATCTAAGGAAGGGACTAAGATCCCCAAGGAATTCTGTGTTACATGGGAGATTGTTAATTCTATTCTTCTATTTTTGGAAAAGTGCAGTTGAGGAGGGGGCTGGAGTGATAACACAGCAGGTCGGGCATCTGCCTTGCATGCGGCCCATCTGGGTTCGATTCCTCCGCCCCTCTCAGAGAGCCTTGCAAGCTACTGAGAGTATCTTGCCCGCACAGCAAAGCCTGACAAGCTCCTCATGACGTATTCAATATGCCAAAAACAGTAACAACAAGTCTCACAATTTGTTGTGAGACGTTACTGGTGCCTGCTCGAGCAAATCGATGAACAACGGGAAGACAGTGCTACAGTGCTATTTTACAAAAATAAATTTTTAATAATTAAAAATGTGAATATGGTCAACTAGCAACTACTGCAAATATATCAAAGAGATGAAGTCTAAGAACTAATGGGGGGGGGGGGCGGATAGGAGAGGCAGTACTGAAAGTAATGAACACCTGGGAATAGGCAAAACAAAGACCAGAGAAGCAATTTTGAAAAAAATTTTGATAATATACAAGAACAAAAAATAAAGATGACAAATTAAACAAAATTATAAAGTCCATTATGCGAAAAGTATAAAAATGTACCAAAACATAATAAAGAAACCAAATTATTAAAGAACATAGAACATTCTTTTTTTTTTTGGTGGGGGGGAGGGTCACACCCAGTGATGCTCAGGAGTTACTCCTGACTGCACTCAGGAATTACCTCTGGTGGTGCTCAGGGGACCGTATGGGATGCCAAGGATTGAACCCGGGTCAGCCACATGCAAGGCAAATGTTCTACTTGCTGTACTATCACTCAGGTCCCAGAACATAAAAACATTCTTGAATAGACAATTTATTATTGTACAGATCTAGCTGTTTCTGATTAGGTCTTTTAGAATCAATACACTCTTATCTAAATCCCCAAATGATTATTTGTAGAATTTGTCCAATCACTTGTAACATGATTAAATAGGGGAGGCATTCAACAAGAATAGTCTAGTATTTTGTCTAATAAAGTACTGGATTTAGGGTGCTGCTAATGAATATGGAGTTTTTCTCCACCAAACCCCCAATTCCTTTCATACACACATACAAACACATGAGAATTAAAAAAAAATTTTTTGGTTTTGGTATTTTGGGTAGGATTTAAAAACTATTATAATTAGGAAAACAACCAATGGAATAAAATAGAGAAACTTGAACTAAACCCAATCCTTTATATAAGCCTAATATGACAAATCTGGAACTGTATGTCAGTGGAAAAAGAGCAAAATACCCAACAAACAATGAATGAATACAAAATATTGACATAAAATTATCATGGTGGATGGTGGATGACTTGAGAAATGATGTATTGTTTCCGATTTAAAATGCTCATAATTTTATACTTAATTACCTTTTTAACAAAATAAAACTTAATTTTGATGATTTTTAAAGTTTTTAACGTTAAGTATCCATTTCATCACACTAACTATAAACTGTCACCCACTACTGCCATGGTATTTATGTTTTCCCTTTCATAGTTAACAAATCCTGAAGTGTTTGGTCTGAGTATTGTGGCCACAGTCCTTCACATAACTAATATAGTACTTAGAATAAGCAGCTATTAAATAAGCACTTGACAAAAATTATATAGGCATTGAACACAAACTTCTCCAAGCATGAAGAAATACAAATTTCTTCTTCAACACTACTCACATGGGATCAACTTGCTACTGCTAAAATAACCAATTTCCAGTACATGTTTCATCTTTAAAAGGCCTGGTTCCCCAGCAATATCCATCTGGTCCTATCAACAATGCAAAAAGTAACCAATTTTCTACTCTTGTCACATTATTCCTTTACAACTAAGTAAGGATTCCTTCCTTCTAAAAGGTTTTATCTAACATATTTTGATGTGGGTTTTCAGTTACCATTCACCACAATTTCAGAGAAAGCCTACTGCATTTAATTAACTTAGATTTTATGTCCCTTATAAACATTCCTTCTATATACTTATAAAGTTTATTCTTGAACTTAAGCAAGTAAATATCTAGAATACTTTCAAGACACCTTTACTCTTAGTTTTTTTCCCAAATAAGGTTTTTCTTAAAATTAATTCAGTTTTCTGCTGGCTTCTCTACTGCTTTTTCAGTATGGAGTTTGAGATAATTTCTGATAAAATTTTCATCTACCTTCAGAATTCCAAATTACTGTTTTCTGGAAGATGACTGAACAAATTTTAAAAAGGTAAAATATAATTTTGGAGTTCAAGCAATTAAATGAAATGCTCATTTGAAAAGGTTCCTTACACAAGAACGTGATATAACTTTGAAAAATACTAATCTAGTAAATTATTAAATATAGTGTGTACAATTAGGAGAGATTCTCACATGAGTGGTCTGACGAGATGTTGTGTGGAACCAAAACAAAGTCATCCGTATCACAGGAAGAGTTCTTGCTACTAGTACTGGCAGAATCTTTGGATACTTGGAGATAGTTAGGAGGACCCAATGGTGGGGAGGACAAGTTTTCTTCCTGAATATGCTGCATATCTGGAAGGGACTAAAATTAACAACATAAAATTAAAACTTTCTAATAATTAAATGCAAGTCAGAATACTTATTAGACTAAGAAACTTTATTTTCTCATAAAAGTGGGCAGAAAGTCAATTCCAACCAAAACTTTAAAAATCATCTGATTGGGAGCTGGAGAGATAGTTCAGCAGCTAGGCGTTTGCCTTGCACACAGATGACCCGAACCTCTGGCATTCCATATGGTTTCCCAAGCACCACTCGGTGTAATTCCTGAGTGCAGAGCCAGGAATTACCCCAAGCACTGCCAAGTATAATCCCACCTCCCCCCCAAAAAAAAATCTGGAAAAAGTATGTTTGCATAAAAACTTCTAAAGTGTTTTCCAAATATAGTATCTTTAACTATGATTTTAAAATATCATACCACTTGTATATACATGTCTGCCTCTCTTGAAATATTTTAAAGGTGAATTTTTATCATCTTAGCATCCTCAGATTCAAGGACCAGAGAGAGTTCAATGAGTTGAATGCACGCTTTTCATGCAAAAGACCCAGGTTCAATCCTTACCACTGCATGTGGTAATAATGTGCATTTAATGAATAAAACCTTTAGAAAATGTAAGTTATGACATATTATATACAAAAACTGTTTTAAATCACTAATGATGAAAATAAATGGAAAACCAAGAGACCCATGTTATAGTGAAAAATAAAAAGTAAAGTAAAGTAAAGGCCCTCCCGTTGATCATCGATTTGCTCGAGCGGGCCCAGTAACGTCTCCATTGGAGACTTTGTTGTTATTGTGTTTGGCATATCGAATACGTCACGGGGAGCTTGCCAGGCTCTGCCATGCCGGTGAGATACTCTCAGTAGCTTGCCGGGCTCTCCGAGAGGGGTGGAGGAATCGAACTCAGGTCGGCCATGTTGGCTGCATGCAAGGCAAATGCCCTACCACTGTGCTATTGTTCCAAATTTTAAATGCATATAAACCTAGAAATTTACTTGTATTCACAGAAAGATTTGAAAAACCTTACAGGTGTGGGTATTTTCTGTGTTATTTTTTTTTTTCATTTTTTTTAGCTAGGGAAATTAGCTTTTCAGAGAGGAGAAGAAGAGAAGAATAGCACACAAGGATTTTTAAAAAAACACTTAAGTGTGTGTGTCTTTAGGCATTTGGTTAAATCAAAGTTCTAATAAGAGTTCTAAGTGTTTTGATTTACAATGATTTTCTAAAACAAAGCACTTCATTGCTATTTGAGTCCCATATTACCATGTTTAGTCTTTGTTTTCAGAGAATAAAAAATGCGTTAGCACTCTTAAAATCCCAGTCTTAAACATCATGAATACTCCTTTTTCACTTCTTTGTGCAATTGTTTGCACATGAAATAAAATATCTCTTTTTGAAAAGATTGTATGTCTCAGGTAATAAAAACAAAGAAAGATAAATAGGCTTCCATGAATTAAGAATCTTCCATGAATTATCTAACTTCAGTCCCATTTTGAGAAAAATTTCATATACAAGTAACAGAACTTCAGATTAAAAAATTTGCATCGGATCACATAATTTTAAAAAATCAATTTGAGATATATGATTTAGCAGTTAATTTTTCCCATTAGTTTAAAATATGTAAATTATGTTTTCTCTCATGAAGCTATTAAAGCTTTAAAATTAGCATATAAACAAATAGCTAACAGTCAATATAAGTATTACTATCTTTTTATGAGTGTATGCTTTTTTAATGGGCTGGAGTGATAGCACAGCAGGTAGGGCGTTTGCCTTGCATGCAGCCGACCCGGGTTCGATTCCTCCGTCCCTCTCAGAGAGCCCAGAAAGCTACCAAGAGTATTCTGCCCACACGGCAAAGCCCGGCAAGCTCCCCGTGGTATATTCGATATGCCAAAAACAGTAACAACAAGTCTCACAATGGAGGCGTCACTGGTGCCCGCACAAGCAAATCTATGAACAACAGGAGGACAGTGACAGTTAAAAGAAGAACTGTCAGGATTAGACCTATAGTACAATGGGTAGGATGTTTGCCTTGGATATGGCCAACCCAGGTTCAATCCCCAGGATCCTGTACTGTCCCCTCAGCACTACCAGGAGTGACCCCTGAGTGCTTGGGGGCAGTGGCCCAAAAAACAAAACAAACAAAAACCTCTGTTTATAATGGAGGAATAATGAATACTCAAACACAACAGAATCAAAGAACATGAGAACTGGCAGAAGGAAACATATGGGGGGGGGGGGGGGTGTTGGAGGTGGGGCACTACAGAAAAGGGAAGATCAACCTGAAGGAGGTGATGCTGAAAGGTGGTCAAGTGTCATGTACAAAACCCTATCGGCAACAGTACTGTAAACCACAGGGCAAAGACTTTTTAAAAAGTATTTTTTTTAAAAATGCCCCTCAGAGAGGCAGACAGGTGGGTGAGAGGCAAATGAGTGAAGGAAGGAAAATGGGTGATGGGAAGTGGGCACTGGTAAAAGGACTAATACTGAAAGAATGTATGCCTGAATAGCTTTGTAATTCACGATGATTAATACAGGTTTTTTTTTAAATCAATGCATCAACAAGTTTAGGTTGGTTAAATGAATGTAAGAGTTAATGGCTTTTATGCAAAGGAAAACAGCAACACCAAAAACAACAGGAACAGAACAGTCTTTCTCTAGAAAATTAAGAGCATCAACAACAACCTTACACTTAACACTAATCTCTTATTTTGCACTAACAATCCTTGCTTTTCCAGGGAGCTTAACTCCTGGGCTCTGAGCTCAGGGATCACTTCTGGCAGAGTGACCTAGAGACCACACAGTGCCGGGGATCAAACGTGGAGGTCCTACTTGCAAATTATGTGCTTCTATCCTCTGAGCGGTCGCCATAGCAGTCCTCATAGTTTTCATGCTTAGTATCCACTTTCACTCGCCTTTACCAAACTACAATTTATCTGAAATGACTCTGCAGCTTATGTTCTATATTCTCATCAGTGATTTTCAACCTCTCCATTCACTTGCCTATACAACACCTCCAGGCCTAACTCATCATCTTTATACTCCACGGCATACCTTCCGCAGTGCCCGTACAGAGTGACTTATGCATTACCAATCCAGTTCCCATCAAGGTCTTCTTCCTTGTCTTACTCTGTGTGTGTGTGTGTGTGTGTGTGTGTGTGTGTGTGTTTGCTTTTGTGAGGCCACATTCAGTAGTGCTCAGGGTTTACTCCTGGCTCTGCATCCAGGGATCATTCCTGGGAGACTTGGGGGACCATCTGAACCCAGGCAGCCATGTGCAAGTCAAGTGCCCTCCCCACTGCACAATGGCACAGGCCCCAGGACTTCCTCTTCCTGAAATCCTAAACCCAAATGGCTTCCAAGCTCTGCAATCCTTTCTCCTACTTAATCCTCCTTTCCTGCTGCTCCTTAGTTCAGGCCCTCACACTCAAAACAAAAAATAAAATAGCTACAATAGTCTCCTGAGTTCTCTTTCCTCTAGCAGAGATGAAAAGATTCATCTTATTTCCACACTTAAGCTCTAACCTGCTTTATGCAAAAACCAGCTAAACACAGAGTGAATTTTATTTGCCTCCACTTAAAATCAAATTAACTCCTCTGCTCAATGTGCTTAAAATTCTGTCAAGACACAATCTCTTCCTCCTTCTAACTTTATTTTGCTTTCCCCTCTGGCTTTTGACAACCACCACACTATTTGGAGAACCACTGAACAACCTCCTGAAAAATGCACAAAACTTTTACAGCTAAGCTGTCCAATATGGTAAGCACTTAATATATGTGGATGCAGATGTGTCCAGTAACTAAGGAATTTTAAATTTCATTTAATTCTAACAAATTAAGAGGACATGGGGGGGCGGGGCTAAAAGTTTCCTTCAACTTTTCCTTCAACCATGCTTTCATGACCTCATCAATTGGTGCTCCCTTGCCTACAATACATACTTCTATGAATTCACCAGGCTCTTTCTTCAAAACCAAGTTCATCAACCTCTAGTGATCTTCCTGAGCTCTTGGTCTGATTTCATGCCTGCATTCCAATAAATGCTTCGATGAACAATTAAATGATCTATCTTTTCTCCACACAACCAAATAATAAAGGAACCCTTATCTTATTAATTAGGATAAACCAAACACTCAAACAAACGGTACTCATGTAAATATATTATGAAACATGTACTTTTTGCAGTGTGGGGCTCAAACCCGGGGCTTCACATATACAAGGAAGGTGCCCTGCCACTAAGCCACAGCCCTGGTCCCAAGAAACAGACATTTAAGAGACACTATACAAATAAGACTTATGTGATAGCCAGTATCGATTAGAACTATTTAGACTTTTTCTTGCTATGGGTTGACAATATGTTTATATCTATATGTTAGCAAGCCGTAGTATGCGTGCCTACTCACTCCAGGAAGAAAGCGCATGTGTGAAATCTTATTTTTGGCAGATTATGTTAAAAGCCAGGCCTTCCAAATCATCCATTTTCTAATCTCACAACAGCTTATAACAGAACATTTCTAATTTCCTTTTCTGCACCTGCTCTCCATTTGATCTCACTTCAACTACAATTGTTTTTTCCACAAAAAGTGCAGCATCTAAATCTGCCTCTCTTGTTAGTTGCATTTTCTCACTCCTGCTAGCACTCCACCCTTCCTAGAAGCCAAGCTTTGTTTCATCTCCCCTGTCAGTGCCGCCCCGTCCAACAACAACAAGACTCTCTAGTCAGAGTCAATAAAAAACTATGCCTTAGTTCTTGAACTGGCCTGCCCAAACAAGCAGGAGCAGCATTAGGACCAGCATTAAAGCAGTTCCTAGACAGAAGCTTCCATGTTTCTCTATAACCATCCAAAGTCCAGCACATTTTATATTCCAGATTAAAATCAAGATATATACTTTTCCCCAAAATTGTGGTTTGATTTGGTGTTGAGGATTGAATCATAAGCTTTATACATGCAAAACATGCTTTATATATGCAAAACATGTATTCCTACCACTGAGCTATATTGTCCTCATGAATTTTTTAACTTATGAGAATGTAAGTCTTTTTAGTTTGCTTTTTTAGAACATACTCATGTGCTCAGGCAACTATGAAGTGCAAGGGATCAAACCCAGGCCTTCTGATTGCTTTGCATTCACTCAACCCACCAAGCCACCTCTCTACCCTATAATTTAAGTCCTAATTACGAGACCATCTGTTTGATCTATTTGGTTTGAGTCTGCAAAGCTGTGCAAAGTTCGTGTAGGTTTTATAGCTCATCCATTTGAAATAGGCTGTTTCAGTATTTGGTTTAACAATGGGCTATTAAGTACATTAGGAAAATATAGTAGCAGTTGTCATTTGCTATTTGTTGTATGATAGACACTAATAAGTGTTTCCTCACTTTTCCTTAAAAGTCCCTATGAAGATAACACAGGAGTTAAAGTGTTTGCCTAATATGCAGCCAATGCCCACTCAATCCTGAGCACCACATATGATCCCCCACATACCACCTTTTGAAGTAGGTGCATTAAACTGACTTTACACTTGAGAAAGAGGTTAAGAGAAATTGAGAGACTTTTCCGAGAGAATATAACAAGGAACATATATGGAAACTGCCATGCCCTGTGCTCTTAAATCTGAATTGCTTCATCCTGCTAATCATACAATTACTGCTTTTTGTGGTTCTTCCAAACTTCTGCCAGAGAATTCAAGAAATTCACACATGCCATGTAAATCTGGGAAATACAGTTAATTGACACGGGATCCCTAAACACCTACAACCTGCAGGAAATTCTCAAGGTCATAATCCTTCTGACTACAATGAAGGTTTGGGAGAGGGGTAGTCTAGAAAAGTACTAAAAAGAGCAAGGTAAAACAGGAAGAGAATAGAGTAGAAAGAAGTAGCAACCAGCATTTCTCAAGGTCAGAAAGAAGCACTTCCACTGGTGGGAAGATATGGCCTGCGAGCTTGAGCCTCCAGGGACAGAGTCTGAGTAAACCGACCTAAAAGGGCCAGCAACCACAACTAAGACTAGATCAATGAAATCTGGCTTAGAGTTCACACCTAATCTAATCATTGAAAATTCTACGCAAAATAAATACCCAAACTGAAGTTCATCACATTCAGGCTATACTATCACCGACCCACCTCAAATGAGTACTTCGTTTGCAAATGTACCATCCCCACTCCTACAAGGTGTGATGAAGTGAGAACACTGCGCTCACTTTCATATCCAGAAGGAAAAGCCTCAGAAAGGGAACAGTTATTAAGTTAACACAGATAAATAAGGGCAAAGATCCCAATACAAGTTTACTTGACCCAACAATAATGCTATTTCCCCTAAGACTCCCTTGCACTAGTAAATTACATACTTAAAGAGTATCGAGGAATGTGGGTCCAGTGATACAACATAAGCCTTCCAAGTGCAAGGTCCTAGATTTAGTTCCAGACATCCCAGCACTGCTGGGTATAGCCCTGGTGGACTCCGACCACAACAGGTGTGGCCCATTCAGACCCAAGCACCATCAAGAGTTGCCTCCACAAGAAAAAAGAAAAACCATCCATAACATTATTTGCAGACTATTTCTGAACAGATGTGCTACTAACTCAGAAGCTAATTTAATAAAAACCAGAACTTACTGGTGGAGAGGCAAAACGACAAGATGGCGAGCTGCCACAGGGGCTTCCGGAGACAGAGCCAGCCGACACAGGCACTGGGACGGGACAGGCTGCGTGAGACATGGAGAGAGAGGCCACTGAGTGTGACTTCTTCATACAGAGTCTACAGAAAACTCCATCTGTGAGTTTGCCCACTTGTTCCTGCTTATTAGAGCTCCACAGAGAAAACAGACAAACAAAAATGCTACGATTTCAACTTGGATTTGGAAGGTAAGACTGCAATTAAATAAACACAATTACAGAGTTTTTCAGAAGTTCAATAAATTTCAAGAAGTACCCAAGTTTTTTTAATGCTAGATATTAATATTCCCTTAAGTTCACAAGAACACTTAAAAAAGGATGGTGGGGTGGGAATACTCACATTTTTTTACTGGAACTTGCTCAAGAAAAGGATGGCTAAAAAACGCTTCTGTAATGAAAAACAGGAATGCAGCAATTAAACTGATGTGAACTTGAAGTTAGGTTAAGCATCTCAATACAATCTACATATACTGCCTTTGAGACAGTAAACATTTATTATAACTTCTCTATAGAGCCTCCTTTTTTTTTAGAGGAGGTTTAGTCTGGTTACCCCTGGGGTGCTGATAGCACACCTGTTGTGGTGATCATCAGCAGGGAACCCATGTTTACTACATACAAAACCATAATCTCTATCCTGGGTGATTTATCCCCTGGCCTAAAGTCTTTATGCTCTTTCAGAGCAGAAGCACATTAATTTTATAAATCATCTTTAAAAATTAAATTATTATTAATATTATGATCACAATTACTGTTTTGCAGTACACCAGAGATTCAACCCAGGGCCTCACAAATGCAAAACAAGCACTCTACCATTGAGCACCATCCCTAGCCCCTATAAGTAATTCTTTACAAGTGAAAATTTAATAATTGTGAATTTTCCAAACATCCATAACACATCTGAAGAGTCTGAAGCAGTTTTCTAATGTGTGACATCCTCAAGCATACAATCTAATGAAGCACTGTGATCAGGCCCTTGCAAGAATTTGAAATATGGCTATTATTATCTTAAAAAGGAAATATAAGCAGCTTGTTTGTATAATAAATTCAATCATTCTATTCCAAACTATTCCTGTAAGTGCTAGAGAGATCATACAACAGGTAAGGCTTGCTTTGCAAGAAGCTGACCCAAGCCCTATAGCCCACCAAGCCTGATCAGGAGGGGTCAGCACAAAGTCAGGAGTAAGTCCTGAGCCAGCAGTGTACAGCCCAGGGAGGGAGAGAAGGAGAGGACACGGCACTTGTCTTGCATGTAGCCAGCTGGGTTTGATTCCCAGCACTCCATATGGTTCCCTGAGCCCCACTAGGAGTGACCCTGAATACAAAGCCAGGTGCACTGCTAGGTATGGCCCAACAGGAGGCAGAGGAAGAAGAGGAGGGAGGAAGGGGAGGGAGAAAACATTCCTTTCACTGGCTACACAATAAAAATACTGGGGCGGGGGGAAGGGGGGGAGGAACAGCAGGGAAAGAGAAAGATAATCTAGCCCCACAGAAGACTCCAAGTGCCTGGCAATGATTCAATCCCTGAGGTTTGATCTGCAGCACTGGGGGGTAGGCTAGAAATATAGGTCAATGGGCTGAGCAAAATGTTTTGTAAGTGGGAGGCCCCAGGTTTGATTCCTAGCACCACCTGGTTCCCTAAGCACCACCAGATTTCTGAGCACTGAGCCAGGAGGAACCTCTCAGTAGCTCTGAAGGTAGCTGAAAAACAAACATACAAACAAAACCAGTAATCTGATTTCATTTCCTCAGCTAATCACCAAAGATAAAACACACTAAAAACAAGGAATGTGAATCAGAAGTAAAACACACACTTAAATACCGACCTCCACACACCCTGCTTCAATCGTTGGCACCATCAAAAAATAAAAACTAATAATAATAATAATAATAATAATAATAAAAATCTACTCACTATCTTTACTTTAAAGATAAACAAGTGCAGGAATACATGGTGGTTTATTACTATCTGTAATTTTCTTTATGTTAAAGTCTTTCATTATTTCTTTAAAAACACACACACACACACAAAGAGGGGTGAGTGGCCCAAGAGAAAGTGCAGCAGGGAGGGTGCCTGCCTTGCCGTGGCCGACTTGGGTTCAATCCCTGACATCCCATATGGTCCCCCTGAGCCTGCCAGGAGTGATCTCTAAGTTTTGAGTCAAGAGTAAGCCCTAAGCCCCACTAAGTGTGGCCAAAAATGAAAAACAAGCAAACAAAAGCCACAAAGATAATCTCATGTACTCGGGACTCCACGCGAGGCTATGGGGTGGGTGAGGGCCCACCTCACTCCAAGGGACACAGCAACAGCAGTCAATCTCCACTGCCCAACCACTGCCACACTCTGGGCTTTCCAGACGCTCAGGCCTAGCCTCATGCACGAATGAAGTCCCATGGAATCCAGATAATGTGGAGCTTTGTGACCTTGGATTCTGGACTCAACAGGACCGGAACAAAGATCCTTGCCTGCTTCCCCCAGTCTCCCTGACTCAGGAATCATATCCATAAGCCACACCCTCTCGGCACCAGATAATCTCCTCACCAGATAACCATCCTCCAGAACTCATGGATGCTCCTCCCAGACGGAAGTATAAAAGGAGCCCCCAGAACCATGCCACTGGACTCTGTGCCAGGCTGTGGGGCAGGTGAGGGCCCTACCCGCCCCAAGGGACCCAGCCCCAGCCGACCTCCACTGTCCAAGCACCACCACGCTCCAGGCTGCTTTCCAGAGACATTGTAAGACTCTTCCTATCGATTTATGTCTCTCAGAGAGCCTGGCACGGGAAGAGCCTGACAAGCTCCCTGCTGCGTATTCCATATGCCAAATACAGTAACGACAATAGGTCTCATTCCCCTGACCCTGAAAGAGCCTCCAATCATTGGGAAAAGATGAGTAAGAAGAGGCTGCTAAAATCTCAGGGCTGGGAGAAATAGAGACGTTACGGGTGCCCACTCGAGTAATCTGACGATCAACGGGATGATAGTGATAGTGACAGTGATCATAAACTCTAATATCTGCATAATATTAAATGGCATAGAGTAAGTTATGTCAATTAGCAATGTGCCAACATGGAAATTTATTAGGTAGCAGAAGGTCAGGAGGGGACTGGACAGCTGTACCAGCAGACAGGGCGAACCCTGTTCTACCCTTGGCAGCCCACATGGCTCCTGTGGCCCCTCCAGGAGTTATCCCTGAGTGCAGAGTCAGAAGTAAGCCCTGAGTACTACTGATGTGGCCCAAAAACTTAACAAAAAAAAAAAGCATTTTTGTTTCTTTTGTCTCTTTCCTCCCAACCCACATACAAAACTTACTAGTCTAAGACCATGGAGAAAATGCAAAGGGCCAGAGTGCATGCTTTGCATGTGAGAAGCTCAGATTGGATTCCATGTCCATGGTCCCTACGTACAAACAGTAGGGACCCAGAGCACCATGCCAGAATGTGTATGGCACCCGCACCCCCACCCAGAAAAAAGCCAAGATGTTACATAATTATAACCTACAAATTGTTCATGTCTCTCTTCCACTCAAATATACACTTCTACAGCACAGGGATTTTTGTAACTCTATCCCCTAAAACATTATAAGAAAGGGAGAGAAATCAAAGGAAATTCACTTTTCTTCTGACACTTCTATAAAATGTAAAAAAAAAAAAACTTTTCATGGGGGTCAGAGAGAGAGAGAGAGGAAGAGTACAGCAGGCAGGATATTTGCCTTGCATGTGCCTGACCCGGGTTCAGTCCCAGGTACTCCAGGTGGTCCCCTGAACCCTGCCAGAAGCGATCCCTGAACACAGAGCCTGGAGTAACCCCAAGCACCTCTGGTATGTCCCAAAAAACAAAATAAAGAATTTTAATAATGATAATAACAAAATTAGAAGCATGAAAACAAAATTTGAAAATATTACTTACCAAAATCCATTCTATCCTTTTGGTTTCTCTGAAGCAAACCCAAAAGGAGGTTAGTCAAATAAGGTGATGTTTCTCTGGGTATACTGGGAGGGAAAAAAAGACAACCTAAGTGGTGAGTTTATATACATTATATAACTTTTGCCTTTATTATGATAAATGAGAAAGTAGATGCTGTTTCACAAATACTAGCTATATCCTACACCAAAAAGACCATGATGAAACACTCACTCCCTGGGTCTGAGCGAGAGTACAGCGGTAGGGCATTTTTCAGGCATGCAGCCTACCTGGGGTTTGATCCTCAGCATCCCATATGGTCCCTACAGCCTGCCAAGGGTAATCACTGAGGAAAGAGCCAGGAGTTAGCCCTAAGCACAGCCAGGAGTGACCCAAAACCCCCAAATTTTAAAACAATACTCATTCTTTAACTGGATATATAGTGTGAGGAGGGGTGGACAGTATGCAGCTGCCTTTAATAAATGCCATCAGAGGCCAGACAGATAGCACAGCAAGCGGGTAGGAGGAGGCTGACCGTGCACACCGTCAACCCAGGTTTGATTCCCAGCACCCCACATCATCTCCTGGACAAGGTCAGGAGTGATCGATCCAGCTTAGCAAATACAATACTGAAAAATAATAAAGCTTTCCAAACTTCCAGACTAGGAAAAGGTAGTGATAAAGAAATGAATAATAGGGAAACATGATTCACAGAGTAAATACTACAAAAGCGACAAATGAAAGAACTGATCTGACTAGTAAGTAATGCAAGTTAGTATGCCTGTTCCCATCTGTGAAAACTGAGCAGAAAGCAGCACTCTCACAAAGTACACTGGGACAGCCCACTTTGCAAACTCAGTTAAGTAATTCTACATTTAAGTAATACTATAGTTCTTCTTAACAAAATACAAAATGCACATAAGCCATGTGCACATACACACACACCAAATTTCACTAAATATTGTTTGACATACTCAAAAAATAAAACCTGGGACCTAGTTAAGAGGCTCAGTGGCAGAACAGAACACATGCCTTACACATGTGAAGCCCTGGATTCAATTCACAGCATAGAAAAAACAAACAAGGATCTGATTGTATATATTTTAACACATCTAAAGTTAGACTCCATGTAGTCATTGTCACTGTTCCATGTTGTTATTACATAGTCACTGAACAAAGTCTATAGTAATAAGGCAGAATAAAAAATGTCAAAGATGTAGAATAATTTACAAAGTGTGATGTAATTTGGAATGAACTATGAATCTGTATCCACAAACACTGAAATGTGTAAAAAAAAAATTCTGCATGAAAGATTTGGAAAGACACAAGCAAACACATTATCTTTACAGAGTTGGGGAACTTTTTCTATTTTATGTCCAGCTACTATTTTCATCCATTATTTCTATTTGCTTCCCCTCTTTAGAATAAATGTATAGTTTTTCTCTTAAATCTCCCTTCCCTTCACCCTTCTCCTCCCCTATCCCTGTCTCCCTCCCCCGTCCCTTCTATCCTACCCAGTAGTGCTTAGAAGTCCAGGAGTGACTCTAGGCAACACTCGGCAGGGCCTTGCAGCCTGACAGCTCAATGCTAGGCCCCAGATACACTCACAAACACGTAGCCCTATGCTCTGTGGTGCTACGGAGGTCATGTGATGCTGGGGACTAGACTCAGGCATGTGCTCCTGCCTTCTGAGTTATCTCCACAACCCCTCATTTAATAGATACCCTGGATGCAGAGAGTTTTCTGTTTATTTGTTTGGGTGGCCACACCCAGAGATGTTCAGGGGTTATTTCTGGCTTTGCACTCAGGAATTACTCCTGGCAGAACTCGGGAGACCATCTGGGATGCCAGGGATCGAATCCAGGTCAGTCATATGCAAGGCAAGCACCCACCCTGCTATACTATCTCTCCAGCCTCAAATATATACTATGTTTTAAAAAGGGAGAAAATATGGTATAGGACATAAGAGGTAACCAAAGATACACTAAGAATTTTCAATTTCTCTTGTAGTAAATGCTCTACTTTACTGTCAACAAGGGGAAAATGATTCAAAATAGAACTATAAACAGTTATAAATAAGTAGTATTTGAGTAAATAACACATACCTAGGCATCAGGCTTCTATTTTTCTCATAAAACATCCTTAAATCTTGAGGACTATTGGCCTATTGGGGGAAAAAATGTTTAATTTTCAAAAAGGCATGGAGAAAAATTTCAAAATTATATTATCGACATTCATATTCTTACTATAGAACATAGATTCTGCACTTGAAAGTCATGGACTGATGAAGGAGGTATGAATATTAAAAACTTTACAAAACCTCAAATTTAAGGAAAAAAAATAGAAAAAAAAAAGCAGTTTCATACAAACCACAAAGGTTCTTTAAATCACAATGGATTTACATATACAATCCATTGTGGTTATTTGTCATTTAAACAACTCTTTTATAAAAGAAAAGAAAGTATATTGGTTTTATGAATAAAAATGGTCTTATCATATACAAAAAAATTTTAAAAAACCTCTAAATAAAATTATATGTGCAAATTTGGCATATCTGGGAACAATGTGTCTTTTGTAAGGTCAGATTCCCGGCACCCTGAAACTAATGAAAGGTTAAGAACCACTATTCAAGAGATGACTTAAGCTATCTATTAGATACACTTTTTTCATGGTATACAACTGGGACCTTCAAAGACTCAAAAAGGAGAATCAAGCATACTGCTATTTTACAGTCTCTCCAAACCAACAAGAAGAGTCTTGTGCTTCAACAAAGGGCAGTAAGAGAAGCTGTTACTCAAGCTGCACTATATGCAAACTAAACTGGAAAATTAAGAGTTTAACTTGGCTGTGTCATTGGTTCTTAAATACCAATTTGGGTAAAAAACAATCTTCCTGTTTTCAGATTCAAAGACCTCTTTCTAACAGGGTATCAATGCAAAAAGAATCATGGTGATCATATTCTAGAAGGCAATTCTTTTACAGGCTATCAATGGAGAGAAGAGAAAAAAAGACCTAAAGTAACTTCCTCACAGTTGGAACAGTTAACTCTCATGCAGCAGCAGCAGGAATGAGATTGTGCAACAGTTCCCACTCATCCTCCCAGACTAGCCTTTGCCTTTGCTTGGAGTCCAGGAACCCCAAATCACGCTCAGCAGAAAAGGCTGCAAACATTATTCATCACCCACGTCTCACCAAACTATTGGGCCCTAACTCTGAAAGGTGAAATTTCCCCATCTGGAAAACACACAGGCTTTGTGTCAGTTTGATTATAAGGTAGATTCAAAAAGGAAAAGCAAAGGATGACCTGGGTCACTACAACAATTTCTGCCTATAACAAAATGAAAGTAAGTCACAAAGGAATCCAAAACACTGCTTTCAAAGTATTCCCCATTTTATAAGAAAATTGAAAAATGAGTTTTTTTTATAAATTGAATACATAAAGAAAAGTCAGGGTACCTGAAAAGGTGGTTTTCCAACTAGGCATTGATATATTACTGTTCCTATGCTCCATAAATCTGCCTTAGCATCATAATGTTGAGACATAATAACTTCAGGAGCCTGGGGACAAAAACATTCAAGAGACATGCCTGAAGCCATTCATGTAATAGACACGTATTAACTGGTAGCATCACACTCCTAACAAACCACTAAATAGCACACAGTGAATCACAGAGATAGGCTGAGGGTAGGAAACATGTCTAGCATGACAAGGCCCCGAGTTCAATCCTTGCCTACAGATGCTGCTATAGCCATGTGGTTCTGAGGGGCCCTAAGCACAGCTGGGGTCACCCCTGTCTAAAAAACATATAGGAGCCTGAACACATGCTTTGCATATGAAACATCCAGCTTCCATCTCCAGCAGGGTCTAGTCCAACTGACAAAGGAAGGAATGAGGATTTGCTACTGTAACCTTTTATGAACACAATTGCAAAAAATTGTCATTTAGAAATACCATGCTGTGGCTAAAACTGTGAAAAAAGCCTTAGTGGTGGTGACTATGGTAGCAGGGAGATGGCTATATTGGGTTTGGAAACGCAGAAGCAACTGGAAGTGACAGGGTGCTATAATGTTTGGCAATTACAGTAATCAATCTTCAAAGTTTGTGGGTCTGGGGCCTTAGAGCCATACCCTGCAATGCTCGGGATCTATTCCTGCCTCTGTACTCAGAGGCTGCTCCTGGCAGTGCTCAGGGGACCATATGCAGTGCCCAGGACTCGAACAAAGGTAGGCTGCATGCAAGGCAAGAGAGTGTAACTTCCTGTACTGTCTGTCCAGCCAATCTTCAAATTTTGGACACAAGAAGGACAGTTGGGAGGCAAAAGTTCTCACCTTTGTGGTCATGGAGCCTAATATTTTGCCAAACCACAAAACCAAGCTGGCTCTTATAGTTACAGTAGCAACAATGGCAATGGTGGGTGGTCTTCATCACTGCTAGAAAACAAACCTTAGCAGAAAACAGCCAAAGAAATTACAGGGATGCTCTAAGTTTTATCAGATGTGTAAATTCATTCAAAAACCATGTGGCATGATCAATAGGAAGGTATGTTTTGGGTCTACATGAGTATGCCCATAATACTCCTGAAGGGGGAAAAAAACTCAAGGATTATATTTGAGACTCAGTATACTGTAGGCTATTTTATTTTTTGATCTGTGAACAGTGTAAAAGATTACAACAAGGGATGGTAATTTTTTGGGGGGTTTTTTTGGTTTGTTTGTTTTTGTATACACATACCACTGATTGCTACATAACTGATCATGATACTGAGTAGATATTTTTTAATGTAAAAACAAACACCAAGAAAATAGGGTTGCAAAGATAGTACAAGGGATAAGATGTCTTGTATGTGGCCAACTGCAGTTTGATCCCCTGCACCACATGATCCCCTGAGCATCACTGAGCAAAGCTCCACAGGCACGGGATACCACAGGGACAGGCCAGGAAGCTCCCAGCATCTCAAGGCCCAAGCAGCATCTCCTCCTTCGGTCCTCATACGAAATTTGGGCGCATTCTCTCCCCTTTCCTCTCCTCCTCCCCCTGCCTCTCTCTTTCTCTCCCCCCACCTGTCTCCCTTTCTCCTTCCTCACTGTACACATGCACACACACACCAAAAAAAAAAAAAAGAAAAAAAATTGGAAATGTCAGATATATTTGAAGATGGCAGAATTGTATTTTCTAGACAGCACTTTTTTACTCCTTCTCTATTTCCTATTCATCCCACTTCTTTAAAATAATAATAATAATAATAACTTTGGCTATTTTTTTCTTTTGAGGCCATACCCAGCTATTTCAAGTTCTTTCTTGGCCCCAAAAATCCACTTTAAACCTATATTTGAAAAAAAAAGTAAATTTTATTTACTTTGCAGAATTCTAAAGCTCCTGAAATAAGGTGTTTTGGAGTTTATTACTTCTTATTAGATCAGAAATTTCATTTCTGAGAACTGGGGCCAGAGAGATGTCTCAAAGGGAAGGACATGGTTTACACAAACGAGGCCCAGCTCTGACCCCCAGCTCTACACGGGCTTCCCAAATACTGCTGGTGGAGACCCCTCAGCATTAAAGCAATGAGCACTGCAACGTGTGGTCTCAAAACAACAACAAAAATAGAAATTTATAACATCACTCTATCAGATATAATATCCATAGGAAAAAAAAATAAAAATTAACATTTTCCACTTTTAGTATGTCACTATCACAATTAAAAAACTTCTACATGAAAAAAGTCTTCATATCCTAAGAGACAAAATACAAAAATTAAGTGTATCATAGCTGAAGAGGTGCCCACATATGAATTTTTTTAAGTATTCCTAGCATTCTCATCAAACATAACAAGACTGTACTTCACCTTTTCGTATTTTTATAATTTTGTTTTTGGGAAGTTAAACCTTACTGCTTGGGGCTACTCCAGGCTCTATGCTCTGGGATGACTCCTGGCAATAGCAGGGGGCCATGCAGTGGATGGATCAAATACGGCCTCCCACATAAAAAGCATGTGCTCAGCCACTGAACTCTTTCTGACACTCTCAGTTCTTATTTTCAATTAAATTTAATTGGGGATTTCTACTATAATAATCTTTTTAAAAAAATAAAAACCAATGGGAAAATAGAACTTACTTTCAGTTTCTACTACTGTATTAAAACAAAGGATGTCTGTAATATATATTTACTGATACCATAATAATTTAACTCTCACATCATGCTATATATGAAATCCTTACTTGGAAACAACACCATCATACTTCAATTCCAATGCTTATGGCTCGTGCTTTAAAACCACTTTAAGAACACAAACACTCACCATGTACATCGGGGACCCACATAGTGTTGCAGCCATCATGTTACTATGTAGGTAACGAGCAAACCCAAAATCCGCTATTTCAAAAATAAAAAGGAGAAAAACAAATGATAGCTTTGCTCACACTTAACATAGATCATATGATTCTTCAAGACACAAGAGGTCACAAAAGAATAATAAGACCTTAACAGCTTACTGAATAAGACTGTCCTCCAAAGAAAAGAGCAGCTACCATAAATTTAATAAGCTAAGAAACAGTAATGATCTCCAATGGTACAAATCATTGTTCTATCAGTTTTCTAACCAAGGAGCACAAGCCTTTGCCAGAAAAAGATACCTATAATATATGACTTATTAATACAGCTCATTAACCATCTGTATCAAGTATAGAAACTCACAGCTGTTTCCCTTTTCGGATACCAAATATAACCTATGTAATATCAGGAATCTCTTAATGGGCTGATAAAACTATTTTTCTAATAATCAAGAGAAGATCTTTTTTAAAATCTAGCATTACAAACTTTTTCAAATAATTTTGAGGTACAAGCATACTAAAAACTGTCAAATATGAAAGCTAAACTACACAGAGCTTCTTAAAATCTGTTAGATTTTATGAACTGTAAAGAACCAGGATTGGCTCCAGTAACCAAAGCACATTAGCCTACCTCTGATTAAGATTAGGCTGTTGGGATTGATGAGCCCTTTCACGCTGATGTAGCATTTGCTGTCAATAATGTAAAAAGAGACGCTCATACATTTAAATGTACCTTACTTAACTCAAAGAGCATCATTAAGATCCATCATTTTTATAAAGCTCAACTATTTTTAATTGCAAAAAGTCCTTTCTATGAAATAATTCATAGTCACCTATTTTGATGCGAATGCCACTGACACTTGACTTTCTGCGATTAGCATAAGACAGCAAGATATTCTGTGGTTTGAGATCCCTATGGATTATTCCTTTGCTGTGTAGAATTTTCATGGCAGCTGCAATCTGATGTAGAAACACTCTGATAGTATCTTCACTGAGAGTTCCTTTAGCTGGTAAAAAGAAAAAAGAAAAAAAAAGTCACATAAATATTTAGCAACTGAGATCAAATATCACTGCATACTCTTGTCAACATGGAATAGAAACTGGAATTTGCCTCTTTTTTCTCATTCTTTGACTTTAGCAACTTAAATCCTGGGGGGGGAGCGAGTGTGTGTGTGTGTGTTGTGTGTGTGTGTGTGTGTGTTTTGCTGGGACTATGGAATGGCATATATCCCCAAAATTTTAGAATGAACGTTTGACTGGAGCGATAGCACAGCGGTAGGGCATTTGCCTTGCACGCAGCCAACACGGCCGACCCGAGTTTGATTCCTCTGCCCCTCTCGGAGAGCCCGGCAAGCTACCGAGAGTATCTCGCCCGCACGGCAGAGCCTGGCAAGCTCCCCGTGACGTATTCGATATGCCAAACACAGTAACAACGAAGTCTCCAATGGAGACGTTACTGGGCCCACTCGAGCAAATCGATGAACAACGGGAGGACCTTTACCTTTACCTTACAAACTTTTTTATTTTGTTGTTTTGGGCCATAGCTGGCTATGCTCAGAATTTACTCCTGGCTCTTTGCTCAGCAATTTCTCCTGGTGGGGCTCAAGGGACCATATGGGGTATGGGGGATAGTGAAAGGCAAGTGCCTTACCTCTGTAATATCTATCTAGTCCCTTCTCAAAAATTTTTAACTGTTGCAAATAAAATAGATTTGTATTTGCATTTTTGTTTTCGTTAGCTTTCATTTTTCTTGTCCTGTTTTTGTTTTTGTTTTTGTTTGGGGGTCACACCTGGTGATGCTCAAGGGTTACTCCTGGCAGTACTCAGGGGACCAAATGGGATGCTGGGGATCCAACCTGGGTCAGCCATGTGCAAAGCAAATGCCCTGCCTTGTGTACAATCTCTCCAACCCCTCTTATCCTATTTTACTGCTAAAGGTACCCACAATATTTAGAACTTAAAAGATACTAAACAAATGTGAGGGTCTCTCAACAACCCAAATACAAGTTTATATAAGTAAAATATCGTGAATAAATGTCCCTTCATACTAGTCAAATATCTGGGATAAATTATTTAATTTCAGTAATTTACATGCACACAAATTAAAAACAGGTGAAATCCTTGGAGAGCCCTGAACCATTACCACCATTTGTCAGGGATCTATGCTGCCATGTTTCTTCCCTTTAATCTCTACCATGTTCTAGCACCCTGTCCCCCCACAGCTTCATTCATAACTAAATGACCTTTATGAGAAAATATCTAACTTGTTTTCACCACTATAAAGGGTTAGTATGAGGGTCACGGTGTGGCTCAGCTGTAAAACATGCCTTGTGTGCCTAAGAACTGGGCTCAATCTCTAGAACCACAAAAAAATTAAGGGATAGAATAAATATTATTTAAGAGAAGTCATTATTCATTAAATACTACAGCATTTCTATATAGATGCTGAACATGAAACATGAAACAGCCTGGTCTAGAGTTAGACTGTGTTTTTTTTAAATCTCAGCTCCACTTAATATGGGATTCTGGAACCTGCTCCTCTATTCCCACTTTTTCTTATTCCCACTTTTTCATCTATAAAAACCACACTGGGTTGTTCTAATGGTCAACTTAAACAGCATATTTAATAAAGATTTTTTAAAATTCTTTTAATTTAACATAGAAGGACTTTTCTTAAATGCTTAAAAGTCTAGGACATAATATGTACTCAAATTTAGTAAGTACTTTTTGTTACAATGGATATAAAATTCACAAGTGAAATATCTTGAATCAACACTAGGGATTTAACATCCATAAACCTATTAAATCCTTTGTGAACATGCTTTTGCATAAAACTCAAAAACAACATTTTATTATCTTTTCACATACAAATAAAAAATATCAACCCTTTAAACAAGTATCATACTTTTAAGGTAATTTTAACGGTATGTTTAATAACACTTTATTTTATTCTAGGACTAGAAAACATTATTTTATTGATTGTAGCTCTCATGGGCTGCTGCGATAGCACAGCGGGTGGGTGTTTGCCTTGTATGCAACTGACCGGGGTTTGATTTCCTCCATCCCACTCGGAGAGCCCCACAAGCTACCGAGAGTATCCCACCTGCACGGCAGAGCCTGGCAAGCTCCCCGTGGCATATTCGATACGCCAAAAACAGTAACAACAAGTCTCACAATGGAGATGTTACTGCTGCCCACTCGAGCAAATGGATGAACAACAGGAGGACAGTGATACTGTGCTACAGCTAGTCCTAAATTGTACCTCTGCCCAAAGACACACTTTGATATACTTGAAATTTTTATTGACTCCAAATCTCAGTTCCCATGGTAAGAGGGTCTAGATTCAGCTGTTGGAGATGCAAATATACAAATTCTACAAATAGAGCATATGTATTTTTCAACACAATCCCATAAATTAATATTCCCATGTTAAAAATACAATATTTTAAAGGCATTGCCAATACCAAAAATTTTTTGAATGAATAAAAACTTTAAAGTCATGGGGCTTGTGCGATAGTACTAGAGTTCAACCCATGGCATCACATATGGTCTCCTGAGTATCACCAGAAGTAATTTCTGAGTACAGAGCTAGGAGTAACCCCTGAGCATGGTCAGGTGTAGCCCCAAACAAACAAAATACCCTTGAAAGTCAGCCTAAGAGTAAAATTTCCAACTTTTAAAATTCCAGGCACTATGATTTACAATACTGTTACTCATACTAATTCATGCATAACACATTCCAGTACCATACCATCAGTCAAAGCCATCACTTCACCCCACAACTCTCCCGGTGCCCTCCTGCGTCCCTCTTCCCGCAATGTGGGATAGTTCCTGCTGAAGAACAATCAGTTCTCACCTTCTGTTGCCACTGGGCATTTGTTATTCCCCTACTATGTTTCTTTATACCCACATATGAGAGATCATTGTGTGTCTAATTCTGTGTCTATCCTTCTCCTTCTGACTGAGTTTAGTCAACATGGTGTTCTCCAGATCTATCCACAAAGCAAGCTGTCAAAATTATGGCATTTTGCTAGAAATATTACAGTATCACTTAATTGCCATCACTCCAGCCCATTGGGCTAGAGCGATAGCACAACAGTAGGGCGTTTGCCTTGCACGCAGCCAACATGGCCGACCCGAGTTCGATTCCTCCGCCCCTCTTAGAGAACTCGGCAAGCTACGGAGAGTATCTCACCCGCACGGCAGAGCCTGGCAAGCTCCCCGTGACGTATTCGATATGCCAAACACAGTAACAACAAAGTCTCCAATGGAAGACGTTACTGGGCCCGCTCGAGCAAATCGATGAACAACGGGAGGGCCTTTACCTCTACCTTTTACCAGCCCATCACTTAATAATTCAGAATTTATTTCATTTTAAACTTGCAATTTGAGGCCAGAGCAATAGTACAGCAGGTAAGGCACCTGTCTTATACACAGCTGACCCAGGATTGATTTCTAGCATCCTATATGGTCCCCCAAGCACCACCAGGAGTGATCCCTGTGTGTAGAGCCAGGAGTAAGCCCTGAGCATCACCAGGTGTAGCACAAAAACGAAATACAATATAAAAAAAAAACTTGTAATTGGTGGAATATGCTTTATTTTTAAAATGTGAAAGGTACTTTATCAAAGCAAATAAACTGACGAGAACTGCTGTTGCAATATAATGCACCTATGGGGCTGGAGCAATTGTACAGCAGATACAGCATTTGCCTTGCACACACCCAAAATAGGCTCGATCCCCAGCACCCCATACGGTCCCATGTAGGATAACATTGGTTAGTCCTTTTTCCCTTGCTATAGGGAGCTTAGGTTTATCAGGTTATACCCATCACAGTGCTCCCAAGTCACTCCCTTTCCTCTGTGCTTATCTGTAACTCCTCTATGCTCTTCCCAAAATGGTCTATCACCTCTTTCCCCTAATCAGACTGTTAACTTATAAGGTCAGACCATTCTAGGGCACTGACCTTGTATTGTAAGTTAATATTGCCTTTCTCCTCTCCTTATGTCTCTTGAATAATTTACTTTAAAGTAATGTCCTTTTTGTATGGACAAAGGAAGAAAGTTAATATTAAGCTTTTGTAACTCGGAAGTAAATTGTCTCCAAGCAATACGCACTCCAGGGCATCTGCTTCCTCGACTTAAGCCTCAGTTGCCCTTACTTCCTAGCATCCCAAGAAAAGGGTCCCGACAAGGATCTGAATGGACTCAGGGCAAGCTGTGAGCTAAACTTGCAATTTGAGGCCAGAGCAATAGTAAACTTGCAACTTTAAGTTTACCTGGCACTGAAATGGGCCAACTGTCTCGATACTCAACTGTAAAATGAGAGCATGGTCATGGACAAATGTTGTCATGATCCAAAAGTAACGACGAGATTAGGACCCTGTTAGGGATCACTGTATTACTGTCATCCTGTTGTTCATCAATTTACTTGAGCAGGCACTAGTAACATCTCCATTCATCCCAGCCCTGAGATTTTAGCAGCCTCTCCTTACTCGTCTTTCCCAAGTATTGGAAAATCTTTCAGGGTCAGAAGAATGAGACCCGTTATTATTACTGTTTTGGCATATCGAGTATGCCACGGGTAGCTTGCCAGGCTCTGCCATGTGGGCAGAATATTCATGGTAGCTTGCCGGGCTGTCCAAGAGGCATATACATATATTTCCCTCTATGATTTGTTGCCTACTATCTTAACCCCATCAAATATGGTGTAGTAATTATGGAAAATGGGTAGGGAGTGTCTTATGATGCCGCGCAGCCACAAAAGCAGCCACATGGTCCAGGAATATGTTCACTCATATGTGAGGCTTGGCCCTGGCGTGCAGAATGCAGCCTGGAGCGAGGCAATGGTTGGGTAGTGGTTGGCTACTGGGGCTGGGCCCCTTGGGTCAGGGAGGGCTCTCACCCACCCCCCTCTGGGGTGCCCTGAGTGAAAACAGCCTGGCACGAAGTCCAGTGGCATGGTTATGGGGGCCTCATTTTATGCTACCTTCTAGGAGATGCTAGGGA